GAAAATTAGAAGAGTTATCCCAGTGAGGAAAGAAATCCCAGAAAATTTCACCTTTTGCATGGAAATATTTCTTTTCTCCTCTTGTTGATTTAGACCAGTAACATCAACAAGGGCCCCTGGATAATCAAAATTAGTTGGTTATAACACCAGTTCATTTTGGATTACTGGTGAGAGAAATGTTATTTCTGTTCCATTCCATGTTCCTGATCCACCAGGCACCTTGGAAATGCCCTGGATAAGGAATGAGTAGGGATTTCAGTGTGTGGCTTATCACTTTTACATGTGACTGGCATCATTTTAGAGGCAGAACCCTCCTTTTTGATCTCTCTGGAAAATCTGCACTACAAGTGTAATGACCCTGGCTGCTCATTTCCAATGGAATTTTCCTTAAATTAGGAAACCAAGACCTTCAAACTCACGGGGTTGTCCCCAGCCAGCTCCATCATCGTTTTTTAGTTCCCTGTCCCTGGAGATTAAAGACCGGTTCTCCCGGTGACACCATCCCGTGGGATAGTTATCCACCATAACAACTTCCCGGGTTGTTTGGGTAGGACCCACAAAAACCCTCCTGCTCAGGGCCAGCAGGTGTCAGCAGAAAACACGGGATTAAAGTCACTGGAATAAGGAAAACGCCGGGAGAGGAGCAGGGCAGGATTTTCCCCTCTGATCTCCACAAACCTTCCTCCTCCTTTCGTCCTCTTCCTCAGGAAACGAGTCAAAGCCAAGAGACTTTCCCACCAAAATTAAATCACCCACAAACGTGGATCTACCAAATCAACTCTCGTCCTTTTTAACTTTATCTCCCCCCTTCTCCAATTCTGTTTTTTTATCACCGAATGTTTTCCAATATCCAGCTTTTGGGTTTGCCCAGAGAAGCTGTGGCTGCCCCTGGAAGCATCCAAGGCCAGGCTGGAGCAACCTGGAATAGTGGGAAGTGTCAGAGTTGGAACAGGACGGGCTTTAAGGTCCCTTCCCACCCAAACCATCCTGAGATTCCATAATTTTTTTATAAAGGATTAACACATTCCACCAGCAACTTCGATGTTCCTGTATCTGCACAAACCTGAAGCAGAGTGGGAAAAAAAATTAAGAAATACGTGGGATTAAGAAATATCCTGGGAAATGAGAATATCCCGGATAATTTTTTCTTTTGGGAAGCTGCTGCCCCTTGTCCTGTAGGATTTTTCCCTCCCTGCAGGAGCTTTGCAGCCCCCTCAGCTCAACGTGCCCCAGGTCTGGCTCCTCCATCCAGCTCCTCTCACTTTGCTGCTTCCCAGCTTTTCCCACTTGTGGGAAAAACCCCTGTTTTTCTTGCCTGAAAAGGACAATATCCCATGGAAATATCTCCTAGGTGGGAGCATAAATGTGAAGTTACAGCTGTACAGAAATATAAAGTTACACCTGTACAGAAATTTAAAGTTATGTTT